ACTGATTATGCAATTAATGGGGAACCGAGAACCATAATCGTCGAAAAAAAACTACTTTCCGAAAATAAACAATTCACCGCCCGGGCACGATGTCACATTGCAAATTAACAACATACTTTTATTTTTATCCTGAAACAACAACATGGCTAAAGAAATTAATCGCCGAAGAAACAATTCACCAGAAGGCTGAAACGAACTATCGAACACAAAAATATAACTAACTGATGCATAAAAACTATCTGGCGCTGCTGCCAGATAAAGAGTAATAGACGGAAATTACTACTTGTTGTCCGTCTAGAGACAACTGATCGCCGAAAGGAACAAATCGTCGATATGAAACAAATCGAAAGGAAAGAATTTGACGACCGCCGAAATGACACTAACTTTCGTTCGAAAATTAATCGCCGGAATGAAACAAATCGTCGACGCCGCAACGCGCGGGTACGCTACTAGTATATATATATATATTATCATTATTTACACAACCTAAACCAAAATCTTTATTCTTTTCCTCCAACTTTTTTTTTTTAAAATGTCTTCTTCCAGAAGGCCCACTTTTATTTTTAGGTTTTTTTTTTAAGTTAAGTAATGTATGGTATTTGTATTTTTAATTAATGAAATATTATCTTTTTAAAATTATGTTTTTTTATTAAAAAAAGTTTTATTAAATTAAAATAGTTAAAAAAACCAAAAAAAGAAAAAAAAGAAAAGTGTGGTACCACTCCCTTGGTATGACAATGAACCACACTTATGTGGTAAAAAATGACGTGGCGCTTATGTGGCGGGGGAGGAAGTGCGGTTTCGGTGACACAACTCCCTCCGGCCTTTAAGTAAACAAAACCAATTTTATGTGTGTTTCTGAAATAATAACAGTGTACGATTACAATTACAGGGAGAAAGCGTTAAGCGTCCATAAAAAGCAGCCTCACATCAAAAGTTGAGCCGATCAAATACCTACACGTGGTCTCTCGTGCCTTGAAACCCTCCCTCCAAATTCCCCCCCAAACTCATCGTTCCTTCATAAACCCTAACGATCACATCACGAAATTTACCCTTTCCTTGCCGAAAATGACGGGAGGTATCGACATGACACTCGATGATATCATCAAGAACAACAAGAAATCCGGAAAAACTGATACCGATACTAGGTCCAGAGGCGGAGGCCGCGGCGGTGGCGGTGGCCGTGGTCGCGGTTCCGAATTCGGTCCCGGCCCCACCAGACGTGTTGACAACCGGGTTACGCCCCGTATGAGCCCGTACTTCGCTCCGCAGGTGGTGTTTTAGGGGTTTTCCGAGTATATCAAGATCATTTTTAACTTCTATTGTAATGTCTAGAATTCTACATGCTTTTGTGAGCACAATGGGTAGTACTTAGGCCAAGATGATGATTACAGTGTGTCTGAAATGTGAGGCGCACTTAATAATTACGTATATATTGATGTATTTGTGTTTAATATTGTTGATAAGGTAGAGATTATCATTCTTTGTGTCTAAGGAATATAGATGTGAGGCGACTTAGGGTTACGGTTTTGATGGCAGGCTTTTGGTGTGCAAGAAATGCTTGTTAGAGGGCATTCCAATTCTGAATCTGGGACAAAGCTTTACATCTCGAACTTGGACGAAGGAGTTACGAACGAGGATATTAAGGTAATAAATCTAGAGCTACTTCAGTTGTATTTTGGTTCATACTTGTTGAAGAAATTTTATGTCTAATGAATATTATAGCACTTGAATGCTTTTGCATGCTGTATTTAAGATGTTCAGAGGGGATTTTGAGAGATTGAAACTACGTAACTGTGGATTTTGTGTATTAGCACATTGGAAAAAAAGTGATTACAGTGAAGAGACATGCAAGGAAATAAACAGATGTGATGTTTTCTTGATATATGCTTTTCAGTGCATGATTGTATTTGGATATATTTGTGAGTACTTCATTTTTTGTAGGTCAGATGTGATGTATGTGTCTGTGTTGTGTGAAGTATAATAGAGCAATTTTTATGAATTCAAGAATTGTAGTATGGTTATTACTAATTGTTTAGTGTCTCGATATATGGCTCTAACTTTTATGATGGATAGATTTACTTTCTTTACATGTAACTTTGTGAGTGCAAAAATTCATTTGATTTCTTTATCTGTATGTTTCTACAAAAGATATACACATAGATATAATATAAACTAGAGTAATTCATGAGCTCTTACTTGTTTTTGCCCATTTTTATCATGTTGAAGTATCAAATTTGTATGGAAAATCAAGTGATGAGCATGATACTCATGTGGGCCATCTGCAGGTGCTGTTTTCAGAAGTTGGTGAGTTGAAAAGGTACTCGGTCCATTATGATAGAAGTGGAATATCAAAGGTATGTTAAAGTTTAATACCTTTGCAAATATGACTGTATTTGTATTTACTATTTACTATTTACTAGTTTTTTAATTTTTTAAATTTTTTTTTTTTGGAAAAGCAGGGAACTGCAGAGGTTGTGTATATGCGCCAATCAGATGCAGTTGCGGCTATGAAGAGATATAACAATGTACAGCTTGATGGCAAACCCATGAGACTTGAACTGGTTGGATTGAACATCGTTACCCGTGTCCCTATGCCATCAATGCAAAAGGGTATTTTGGGAAATCCCACTAATCCTTCTCCAAGGTTCGAATGCTCTCCTTCTATACTACAGTAAATAAACTAGTGGCATTGTTTCTTATGGGCCTGATGAACTTTGTTGCTAGAATTGTTGGAAGAGGGCATTCTGACAGCTTTGGAGGTAGATTTGCTGGAAGAGGGCAAAGGCGTAGTGGCGGTGGTGGTGGTTTCAGTGGGAGGAGCGGTGGGCCTCCAAAGATAGTGTCGGCTGAAGAGCTTGATGCTGATCTGGAGAGGTATCGTTTGGAAGCAATGCGAATAAAGTAAAGAAAGAAATGGTTGTTGAGTTGAGTTGAGAGGTAGTCATTTTTGTTGAAACTAGAAAGCATCCAAGATTTTTGTCATGTAGAGTGTGTAGACTCACTGTCACTGTTAAAAAGTTGGTAGATAGCAATTAGCATACAGTAATTTTGGTGGTTGGTTTCTGCTTATGATTTTTGAGTTTTGAGTTTTGACAAACACAAGTTGATTAATTTGCTAGTGCAAGCTTCATTTCTTTAGCTAACTTTGTTACATTATATAAGATAGAAGAGGAGGGGACAGACTAGTTTTAGTCCCCTCAATGCATGTCAAATACAATGTTCCTCATGTGATATAGTTAGAATGTTGTTTGCTTAAATAACCTTTAAACTCATTTTATGAGGATGATGACACACTGTGTTAGCACATGTTATATATTATGATGCATGCATGTATTTTGTAAGGAGATCTCCAACTATCTAATACTGTTATTGAGGGACATGCATGACTAATCCTTTCTTAAATCAGTCGTCTACAAATCATCATACTCTACTTGATTCGTTTCGTTGGCTGATTCACCGACCTTAGTTTTTTTGGCTGATCAGAATATGATTAGGTTATCGTCAACAATTTTCAGCTCTTTAAAAAAAAGTATATTAATCACTTTGGATAGTTTCATTGGTATCACAAAGTAATGGTTCATCCTCCGCATTCTAATAATACCGATAACACAGTATGACAGAATCTGAATAAGGGCCCAAAGTCTTATCTTTGATGAGTTTGAATAATTAACAAACTCCAGTTATTTCCACCCAATGCCTTTAGTTGTTTATTCACCAGACCAGAAGAAGTGATTTTTTGTGGAGATGTCCAGTCCCTTTATTATCCAGCTTAATAAACTTGGGTGGGTTTACACAAACTAAATTCATCACCGCTAATACTAATCAAGGTCTCAACCCCAACAAAACAACTTTGATAAATGAAAGGAGATCTGATGACAAATACCTTTTAGCCTAGATGTAAAAAAAAAAAAACTCAGTTGTACCATTTATAGTTGGAGGAATAGCCGAATAGAGTGAGGATTGTGTAGTGAAATTCAAAAGGAGGTTGATCCAAGAGAACTTTCTCAAATCTACATGAATGCATCGGATGGTGTGGCTGACTATCATACCATATATAAGGGTTGTTGAATGGATACATTGAAAAAATGAAACTGGACATTTGAAGCAAGCATAACCAACTTCATGGACATTTCTTTGGCTTTAAATTGACAAAAAAAAAATGGTAAATGGAAAATAATAAGGATAGCTGATCATGGAAATAAGAGTTCATTATGGTAGAAGGCTTTAATTTGAATGCACAAAGAGTGGAGTTCAAAGCTAATTTTTATTCGTAATACCTTTAGGAGTATGCAATATAGTGCCGAGAATTCAATGGTTTACTTCTTTAGGGGTGTCTTTATTTCATTAACCTTTCCATAGAGTTTCAATAACACATAAGCAAAATGGAGGGGCTAATGATAAAGTTATAAAATCATAAGGGAGTATAAGATCAGTAAGGCTCTAGAACAAGCTATGGAGCTTTCAATGATGCTACTATATATGGTACAGTTAACGAGGAGGTACTTGAGCTACAAGTAATGCATTTTGACGACAAATTAAGATAAATTCATATTGGCCATCTCACTTACACGATTTTAGTCTTGTGTTCAAGACCTTGAAGAAGCGTTTCTTGTTTGCTAAGCTTAGAAAATGTGCTTTTAAAATTTGTGCAACAAAACAGAGTATCTGGGGCATATTATTTTAAAGGAAGCAGTAATTATAGACATAAGTTTACTTGAGGATGGGGGAATAGAGGTGGCAAAGCAGACAGCTAACACGTAAAGTTGTTTTATAGACATAAGGAATAAGGTATGTTGTATCTGACATTTTAACAAAACTATAGACATAAGTTTACTTGCATTTTCCGATCACAATTTGCTATTCATGACATACTACTGCTTGTTAAATGTTAAGAATACCAATCTTAAATTGTGTTTGAAGATGAATTTCAATTTGTTATAATAGAAAGGACAAGCAAAAAGAAGTAGTTGAAAACAATCTTCACACGTTACGTTGAATGGTAACAAAAAATGTATATACATTTGAGGGGTGAAATTGTGCAACTATGTATTACAAAAATGTTGAGGGAGGAAGGGAGGGAACCTAAGAAGAAAAGCAACAAAAAACATACATTTACACATATGTATCTAATGTCTTCCATAAATAACAGGATATTTACCAGATGCACCTTGCCATGACCTGACTGACCCCTTCAATAATTCAACTTGTGCTTGTACAATTTATGAATGAACTCCAACGTTTGTTTATATACTTTTACTTTGATTTGATTGAAGCATATCCTGAGACCAAAATCTTGAGATGATTATTCTTAATTAACAACACCCACCTTCACACATGCCAACTTTCAAATCTCCTCTCCTCTTGTACATTAATAAACACAAATCCTCGGCCCAACACACTGCATGCGTTCAACTGTTCCATGCAAATTCGAATCAAATTTTACAATAATGATATATATAATCAAGAGAGAATAAATAGTAGTTAGTACCTGGAGAGTATGGGTTATTCGATACTTTGAACGGATGTGTACAAGTTGACATATATGTATGTATTTTGCGTATTTATTTATTTCCACAACAGAACAGAAACAGACACACCCACCCACCCACCGCTCTCAAAAATTTCATCTCAGGATCAAGGCCTTTTGCACATCAACAATCCAAACCAACCACACAACATTTCAACAGAAAACCAATCAATTTGAGATCTCCCAGTCCGGGTATTTTGACCAATTTAACAACCATCTTTGACTTTGTGATTCACCCACTGCCAGCTTCACTCAGCTTTGATTCTCAACTCAAGAAAAGGGGACTCTCTCAAAAATGGAAAATACTAATTTAATATGCAATCTAATTCCATAGTCCTTCACTTGATAACTGAAGTAGACCACGCATCTGAAGGTAAGGATTCTCCAATAATTTCTCATTGTTACTCTGCACGCACATCAATAACAAACAAACCATTTAAACACACTCACTTTAAATTACTCAAGTCAAGTCAAGTGCATACACACCTGTTGAGCTCTGGATACAAGAGACGAGAGTCCACGTTGGTATTTATCCGCTTCTTCAGTCATCATCCTCTGCAAAATTTATACATGTATATCAATAAATAAGACTGTTGTCATATATCTTTCCACTTTATAGTATTTGAAAAAGAAAATGTATTTTTTTTAACCTTTAAAAGGAAGGTTGAAGAGAAGTAAGCCACCCTAGAATCAGTATCATCTAATAGCTCCCTGCCAAATACCCATACAACCAATTACAACAGTCTGCTTGCCATAGGTTTTAAAAAGAATCCATCTTACCTGAAGAACTCTTCACCACCAACTTCTTTAAAAGCACCAGGATCCGCAGTGCATTTACCAATCAGCAGTAAAAGAAGAGTGGATCTAATATCTGACGTGGCGCCAGGTAGGTTTCCACCTCCTTTACTCCCAACAGAAACACCAAGTGCTATATTATCTGTAGCTGCAGCCGCCAGTTGAATCAAAGGCCAGTAAAACAAATCAGCAGGCACACGTGCAACCAGTTGCATAGGAACAATCGCCTGTCCTTGAAGAAGCAATGCTGCCATTGATGCCGTCTCACTACTTGCTGCGGTGGCAGAATTATTTTTGTTAATTCCAAATCTGCCCTTGCTATCCTCCACTGGTTCCCAGCAAAAGTTCTCTCTTACAGGGAGATCTTCCATCACGCTCGCCTTTTTATTCCAAACCGAGTAATTAAAACTCTTGCAACTACGCAATGTGTCTGCTGATGTGGACGTGTTTCCAGGTATCACTTTCAGACACAATTGAGAAAATAGAATGTCGCACATCTATTCAAAAAAACAAAAGACTCAAATTTTTTAAGTATTATGGTCATAATAATAATAATAATTAAAGAAGTTATACCTTCAAAATATTCATACGATCTGTGACGTTTATCTGAGCCACCAAGGATAAAGCACTGCTCATAATATCAATGACAGCATTTGCTTTATCAAGACGTGTTTTCCCATGAGCTTCGTTAGTAACTGTAACCGAATGTTGTAACTCATTTTCATCCAATAAAAATTTACATCTCATGAGAAGTCTTTCAAGAACAAAAAGGAAGCCCCATCTTATAAGATTGTTTCTGGACTTCAAAAGTCCACACATGAGCCAAATGGGTAGTGGAATATCCAATTCAGGTGAATAATCTTTAACAGAAGCAAGTGTGATTCTTTTTTGTAGATTCTTTATGTTTGACCAAATGGAATCCCCTTCGTAGTTTATCTCTGCTATAAGCAGATCACCTAACCATACATAACCGTTTTCACGAATGGCTGCACGTTCTGAATGAAGAAGAGAATGTAAAGTGGCCCATGCAAGCTTCACTTTTAAGGCATAACTGTTTCTCACAAATCCTTCCTGAAAGCTCTCTAAGTATTTGTACGATTTTGTAAGTTCTGTCATATGACTGAATTCTTTGTCCAGGTGAGTTAATGATCTTAACAGTGCATCAAATTTCTCCATGATTTTCTCCAATAGCTGCAGAAAAAAGAATATAAATATAAATATATAAAAAATAGAAATCAAAAGAACAAATCAATCTTGTGATTACCAACCATATTGAGTCTTTCACTGTTGGAGTATCTTGGTAAAGCAGCAGAAATGGACCTTCTTAAAATATCACCAATTCCTTCTATACCAAGTTTAACAGAAATATGTAAAGCTTCTGGTGCATCTGCAAGAGTGAGTAAGGAAGCGATTGGCTGTATCTCATCATTGCTATATTCAGAAATTCCATTAGCTATACAGCTTTCATTTATTTCATGAACAACATAGTCGAAAAGCACCAGATATAAATTTCTCCTGCCTTCTCTGGAGTTGGAGATCACTAGCTCGATGAACACAAACTCAATTCCTCCAATTACATCAACTTGATCCACAAGAAAAGTCGGTGTAGATGTGGTGGACACATCAGGGACTTCATAAAACATGTTTGTTAACATGTTGATTAACTTGCAATGAACCAACTCTGCCCATGAGTTTCTCCTGCTAATTTGTATAAGCATTTTAATAACCTACAAATGGTACAAGTTATAGATGTTAGCCTGTAAAACTTTTGTAAGACATCATTTATGCAACAAAATAACTCACTCTTATGTCAAGACCTCTTAATCTGCTTCTACGAATTTTGCCTCTATCACAAACAAAATATAGTAAACAACTAAGAGCAGAAGCCCACACAGATTCTTCCTTCTCTTCTGCCTGCAATGCATCAACATTTTTATAAGGTATCCTTTGAATATATATATATATATATATATATATATATATATATATATATATATAAAATGCTAAAAGATATTACCTGCACCAGAAGGAGGAGGACTTCATATAAAATGCACAATATCCATGATTCAAAGTTATTTATTGCTGATAAACTTTGGGCCTTGAGGTAATCTTGCTTTATGGACATGTTTTTGTCAAGGTATGGTTCTTGAGTGTATTCTTCTTCAATGGTGGAAGCATCATCAGCTAAAAGTGGCTCCAATAAATGGCCATGAACCCCAAGGTTTAAAATTAAGTCAAAAGCACGAACTTTTGAGGTCAACTGTGAAGAACTAAGCATTTCCTCAAGCATAGATAGCATGAGTGGAGCAGCAATCCCAGAGTCCAACACATACCTACAGAATAAAACTTTAAATAACTTTCCACAACATCAACAAACTTTATACCAAAAATATAAAATTGAGACTTACATGTCAATTACAAGTTTGATTAAAACACTCACAGCCACATCCATTGATGGCTTCCCACTACTGCTACTTAATTTAGATGAGATTGTCATCATATTAGGAACTGGAGAAGGTTTTTCTGAACAAACTGCAGCTATAACTTCTCCCACTTCATCTGGATTCAATCGTAATGGTTGTTGTTCACTGACAAAATAAATGCACCAAGAGTGAGTGCAACGATATATATAAACCACATTCACCAAAACTGAACAAGGCTAAAGTCAGTCTCAGTTGATTACAAACAGTCATATTCTAATTTCTAAACAATTGTCATCATCAAATCTAATATCTAAACATGCAGTCATACCTGTAGTGTCTATATTGGAAAAGTGGTCGAGAACGAGGGCGGAAAGTTGTTAGAGGAGAATCTTCCCTGTAAAACAAGAACAGATGAAGGACTATGAATTAAAAAAGTGACAACATTGATGGAAATGGAAAGTATCATAGAAAGTGTCTACATACCAAATCTGATGAGGGCCTGTTTTGGAACGTTTAGAAGCTGTTATTGCTCTCAAATGAGCACGTGCAGATGCGGAATTTGTTACAGTAGTGAGTAATGAAGGCTGTAATAGTTGATCAAGGTAAGGCATATCAATGCTACCAAAATTTCTCCAAAATTCACCCTTTGTTTTAGCTTCCATGTCCCCTAAAAGAAGGGCAGCAGCACCTACTTCAAGAAAATTGTGCTTACTCATGTCTTGATGATTCAAAGGACTATCAGAAGAAAGCAAAGATGATTGTGGGTCCCCATGCCATCGCCATTTGAATACATCACGGGCTATGAATTCATCGCCTTCAATTCCATCAATATCTTCAGGAATTGGTGAATCCAGAACGGAAACAGAAGAACCTTCTTTGTTCTCGGAAGATTCTTTACCGATTCCAGGGCTAATTTGGGAATTGAAAGATTTACTCATTAGAGATGATAATGATGGAAGTGACTGTCTTGATGCAGAAGTGGCTCCAGCAAAAGCTGCGGGTTGGAATGATCTTTTTGGAACATGTTGAGCCACTAGAGAACGAATGTAGTTTAGTGATTTCACAAGTGCACCTGAAGCAAAACTTGCAACAGGCAAAGGTGATGATACATTTAAAGTAGAGGATGAACCACCAGCTTGTCTTCTGGTTGGGCTAATATCACATTCCATGATTATATTTGAACAAAACCGATCAACTTCTAGTAGGGTCTCCTCACTTGGTTTATATCTGTAACAAAATTGCAATTTAAGTAAAAAAAAGTTTAGAAACACAACTGATATCCTATAATGAATGAAATGATTCTTAACAAAAAAAGAACACCTACCGCAGGAGATAACGTTTCAAAAGAGCCACACACCTTGCAACTACAGCAGGGCTGTTACAGATGAGAAAACAAATCAGGGGGGAAAATCTAACTAGTGTGACTGACGTTTGATCAACACGAATGTTAAACATATTGTGTTCAGTCAACTGTAATCATTATTACAAGAATACAGGCTGTAAATTTATACCAATGTTAACCATCACATTATGAAGCTCCAAACCATGGTGACAGATCTATTTTGTGTTTATTTGTTTATGATGATAACTGGTGTTCCATGTGGTTATTAAGAAAAAAAACTTACGTTGCTGGAGTGGTATATTCAAGCATGCTGAATAAAAGAGACAACTTTTCAAATTATTTAGCAGCAGAAAACAGGCTACAGGTTGCAATGCATTGTTAAGAAGGTAAACCATCAAGGTGAAAAAAAGAAAAAAAAAAAAACATAAAAACAATCTTAGACAATGATGTGTTACATAGTAGTACTAATTATCATATTTTTTGTTGATCTGGGCTTACAGGCCCTCTACTGTTCTCAAAACACTAAGGGTTAAGTCCTTTGAAATTTATATTCTATTGTACCCTAAAGATTAACATTGTGCTAGTACTAGAGCCAAGACTTTGAAAGCAGAAGAGTTGATAGCACTCTGTGCAGTATTTAAGCTGCCAGTATGGAAAGAACAAATATAAAAACATATGCACATGTTAAGCATTTATTGGAGGTATATGCGAAAGTTTATAATAAATAACAAATATATGTTGAAAACCTTCGCTCTCTCTCTGCAAGTGTGTGCTCTATTATCACACCATAGGCCAGGTCAGTAGTTGCATGAGATGCTAAATAGTCCTGCCAAAAAGAAAGCAAATCTACATCACTTGTCAGAATTGGTGTTCACAATGTTAATAGCCGGATTACATTTTACATGAAACGGATAATGTTATAGATAGAAGCCTAGTAAGGACTCCTTAGTCCTTACCATTTCTTCTATATAGAAGTAACTTTATGAATAGTTTCCAAATTCCAACCACAAGCAGCTAAGTTCTGAAACTTCAGACACTAAACTGTGGCAGTACAAGTCTATCTCTATCACATATTCACATTTCATTACCATGTAACATAACTAAGTGTCTAAGTTATGACCGCATAGTCTAAGAATACTCAGGTATTAGTCGCCTATAGCAACTATGTGACATTATCAGTGCAGCACTTCCCCTTTGGTGAATCTATATCAAGTGAACCAGAATCTTCGATTCTACAACTCTATAGATTCAAGGTTCTATTCTAGACTAAAGAAAGTAATAGAAGTCTTGTGACTAGATATCCTACACCATATCACACTGCATTTGCTCCATATGTAAATTTAGCTACAAATTACGAAACCACATGCAATAATGGGCACTCTACAACTTGGTGTATGAACGAGCTCAGAGAAAGAACAAAACACAAAAAACACATCTTTATTTTACTTACTTCCGATGTAGTAGGTTCAAAATAGTGGGAAAATAACAGTAAGGAATCAGTACTGATAATGGAACTAGAAATCTATCAAAACAGAAGAAAGGTTAAAAATCTTAAACGGAAAGATACATCATCTGCAAGAAGTACATCCTAAGTCCATAACTTGCTGATCACTTAAACGTTATCTACAAGTTCATCTTGAAACCATGGAGTACTTAGGTTAGTATTGGTGATACTAGACCGACTTAACATTAAATAACCTAAACTACATATTAAAGATATTTACAAGCAGACCAGCAAACAAATTTCTCTACAACTTTAAACCCATAATATACCCCCCATAAAGTAAAAACGATGCAAAATTCATAGATTAACCATCTGGATTCCACAATTAATAATGTGCGAGCTACAATTTTCTCTACCTGCACTAACAATATAATTCCCCAATCCCTAACCATCAGAGAAACCTAACATCTACAGATAACCGAAAGTGCAATTCCATGTATAAGCACAACAATGTACAACTATCTGTATAAAAATATCATAATCCAAATAAATTCCAAATCACGCACGGCCACTATTAAACCCTAGATTCGCAAACTAAAAAACTAAGGGATCTGAACAAATAAAGTGAAAATTAACGTCCGTTCGTACCCGAAGAGTCCTGGAAGCTTCGGATACAACGGCTGAAGAGCTGCCCTGGACGGATAGAAGAGAAGAAGAGAGACAATCGGCGATTGCGCGGCGAAGAGGCTCCGGCGGTTTCTTGGACGAAGAAGATCTCATAGCCCTGGAGATACCACCAACGCCTCCTAACTGTAGCCTGGAGCTCGTAGCAGGGCTACGAGGGCCGCTGTTGAAGCTCGTCGACATCGTATGTGTAGATATAGCGTCAGTGTATCTATCTATGCGAAGAAACAGTTGTTCTCACTACATCTCAACAATCGAGCACTCTTTCTTCCTTCTTTATGTTGTCTATGCAAGAGGAGGCGCCTTTTTATGATTGAGGGAGAGATTATATTGTATTTTGTTAGATGTAGAAAAATAAATAAAATATAACAACAATACTATATTCTTTTAATTATTTTTGTAAGAAGCTTCAAGTTGAAATTTAAATATCAACTAGGGTTTGGACCGTCCGTGCGATGCTGCGGAATTCCTAGTATGTTCAAAAACCCAGTTCGACACCATACATACTACAAAGACTATTAAACCATATAAAGAAGCACACAAAAAGATCAAAATAAAATTTAGATACAAACAATTATGTACATAGGAGGCGGATGGAAATAAGACTTGAAAGTGTGTTTCGAAAAAAAGATTATTAAAAATGTATGTAAGTGAGTAAATCGTAATGTATAAAATACCAATAATTTAATTTTAAAATTATAAGGGGTGAAAAGTGTTAAATAAAAATTAACTGAAGAGGGAAAAATGTAAATATGAAAATCTTCTATGACCAGAATCTAAATGGTTATTAATGCTTTACGCTTAATAATGCATGCTTGATAATATATAACATGATTTGTTTTTAGTAAATTTGGATTTGGAAATAGAAAAAAAGAAATATATAACGTGGCAAGATCATAGAAAAAAGAAAGGACAAGATATGGACCGATGAAAAAGAAAATTGAAAAAAAAAAGTAAAATGTCTCACAAACCAATTTTGGTAATATATATATATATATATATATATATATATATATATATATATATATATATATAATGAATTGTATGTGGAAATAAATAAATAAAAACTATGTAAAACTTAAAATAAAATTAAAAATTTGAATTAAGGTCATTTCGGCTTTATAATAGGGAGGTCGATGATTGAGATGGAAGCTTTTTCGAACACCTATGTCTTATAAAGAAATAATGAAATATAGAAAACAAAACATAAAAATATTTATATAGTTTCATCGACGTCAATAAATGTATAATAACCATGTTAGATGATACAGTTTGAAAGATCCTGAAACTTATAACGGTTCCAAAAGAGATATGTTTTGGTTAAACACGGTTAAGATGAAATGCCTTTGTTATGTAATGATTATGGAGTAGAAATAGGTATCGAGGAGCATGTAATACACTCATTGAGGTATATGATCCACGAAGAAGAGGATGTTGAGGATGATGTTATCCTGGCAATTAAAATGAAGGGCAACAATGAGAAAAATGTGTGTCAAGTGTAACACCCATAAAAATCACAAGAAATTTAAACTTTTTAAAATCAACCCAAATTCACAAAATGTTTACAAACATAGTTTTCAAAACATTTTCGAACATCAAAGTCTCCCAAAATCATAAGTCATAAACAAGGAGATGTGTACGGTCACGCCTTCACCTTCCCGTAGTCATCCGAAGTACCTGAAACATAACCCAAAATTGTAATCCAACGCTTAGTGATATCCCCCAAAGTACCAACACATAAGCAGATAACATATACAATAACAGCATGTCGGGTCCAATCAACCATCGGGTTGGAATACCCCTAGGCCCAATCAACCATCGGGTTGGAATATCCCAGGCTCAATCAACCATTGGGTTGGAATGCCAATCTACAACGGGTCATATCATCCTCGGGATGGAATACCCTCGGTCCCAATCAACTATCGGGTTCGTATGCCCCCGGCCTGTTGGCTTACGCACAAAGCAGTAAAGCCTCAACCACCAACCAAATATGTGCACATATAACAGATAAACATATAAACAATCTACAGACAGTCAGGCAGATCTACTGATCACTAAGCATAACATCATCTTATATACCAGGATACCGATCTAACAGATCACTATAGCACAATAACATACTATCACATAACAGGATATCAAATCCAAAGGGTCGGCCTTGGTGCCTTCGATGCGCATGTACAGTGAGGAAAACTCACCTCACAAACTGGACAAAAGTTGATGAGGTCCCGACTCCGAATCTCAGTTCTCTAACCGACACCTAATACAACTAAATGACCAATCTCCATCAAAATACCAAAAATACCCTTGAGGTAAAACTTGGTCAAAGTCAATGTCAAACTTGTCAAAATCTATAAGTCAACTTAGTCAACCCAACCGAGTCAACCCAGCCGAGTCAACTCAGCAAGCGTACGTTGGGCGTACTCATCCGCTTGACCAAAAACGGGGTCGTTGACCATGTACGTTGGGCGTACACCCAGGTACGCACGGCATAACCCCAAACTTACTTTTTTCCTCATTAAGTGCTTCATACAACGTCTTAACACATCCAAATGCAGATCCAAGGTCAAAATGACATTAGGAGTCATAAAGTTTCCAACTTTATGATCTTGCATGCGTAATAAGTGCTTAATCCATAAAAATCCAACATCTTAATGCCTTAAGACTTTACATATCATGCATGGGACAAAACCAACCATTGGGACTCCATTTTTATGACTAAAGACCCCTCCTAGGGTCCGAGAGGACAGCTTAATGGTCAAGAACATGTCATGCTCAAGATCTAACATTTTGGGACCAAAAAGCATCATTAAAACACCCATTTCTATATCTATATGATGGAGGGATAAAGTTGCAAGCTTTATACCTTAGAAAGGTTGCAAATGACGTAGAAACCCCAGATCCAAAGTGCTTCACTCTTCCAAGATGAGCTTGGCTTCCTTCCTTCTTCTTCTAAGCATAAAACACACACTCTTAGGCTTGGAAATAACTTCTCAAGGTGAACTAAGGTTGCAAAACGTATCAATAGGGACAGAGGCTGATGAGGTGAGGGGAAATGAGGCCATAAGGGTGTTTAAATACGAGCTAAACCCTAAAAAATAGGGTTTCCAAATCTGGCAAGTACGCCCAGCGTACAGCATGTATGCCCAGCGTACTAGGGTGCGCCCTAGTACACTCAGTGTACACGCGTACGCATGGCGTACTCCCTAAGCTTATTTACGAAAATGCCATTGGGGATCATTTACACACTTCTTTAAACTTTAGGGACCAAAATGCAACACAAATAAATTATAGGGTTAAAATTAGAAGTACCTTATCATCGGGATGTTACAATTCTCCCCCACTTGAACTAGACTTCGTCCTCGAAGTCTGCCACGGTGAATGACTCAGGATAATGCTCCTACATCTCAGCCTCTGGCTCCTAGGTCCACTCGGAGTCTCTCCGATGCCGCCACTGTACCTTTACCAAAGGTATCTCCTTGTTGCGCAGGACCTTCATCTTACTTTCTAGAATAGATATCGGCCTCTCGACATAGTCCAGGCGCAGGACCTTCATCTTACTTATAAAGTACTTTTTAATATTTAGAAAAAAGGATATTGAATGTCGACTTAAAGATAATTAATGTTTTGGTTGAATTAAAAATGAAATTTTTACCTCATAATTGTGGGACGTTTCAAGTTGGTATCAGAGCCTTGGTTTGAGGGATTCAGGCACACTCTCGGGTATGTCTGAACTCAAACTGAGGAATTGATAATCTTTTGAAAGAAAATGAGTTTCAAAAAATATTTTGAAAAAAGGGAATAAATTTCTAAAAGGATTTTATAAAGACAAAGGGGGTGTGATGCGTGCAATCGGCCGAGCTCAAGTAAGTGATTCCCATAATACCAATACATGTTTGCTATGATTATATGTTATGAGAATTACATGCTAGGATGAGGCTAAGGATACTTTCAGGAGTTGCATGATATGTGATACCTTGTAGCCTAGGAAACATTGGATGTTATGCTAGGTTGGGAATATGTATTGGTATCAGTAATTGCTAAGTGTATGCTTTAAAAATTGTATACGATTAGGATCATATAGCCCTAGAATGATTGATTTGGCCTTATTTTTTGTTCCTTGTTTGGTTGCGGTCCTAGGGTAGAGTCTTTTATTCGACAGTCTATTTGATCTTGTATTGTGTATAATTTACATGCATAGGGCAACCGACAGCGAGAGTAGAAGTTTCTAGCATGAGTTGTAGTATGTGAGTTTGAATGTTCTTTGGCTATTTTATGGATTGGAGTGCTACTGCACGAATGATGCTTGCTTTGTGCTTTGTGGAACTCTTAAGTGATGTGAGCTAGCTACTAAGTGAATATCTTAAGTCACATGTGACGAAGGTTGAATAATCACAGAGTGATGTATTTGAACCTATTGTGCAACTCTCGTTTGAGTCTAACCGTTGTAGGGATGATTCTTTTATTCGAATGACTATCTAAGCTTTGTTGCATGTAATTGTATTCATGAGGTGTTTAACTGACATTATCGGGAGTTCTTCAGTAGCTGATGGCAGGATGAGATCGGAAACCTAGGAAAGCCTAGGAAGTGCTTCAGTGGTTTTAGTTGCGTTGTTTAGCGATCATTTGGAGTATCAGTTTGAGAAGGTGACTTAGAGGGTTTGGAATGCTTCTTGAGGAAAGTATGGATAGGTGTGGAAGGTAGTATTAGGCCCGTACTACTGAAAGCACAGGATCCATACTCAAATCGGGGAGAGTTTTGGAGAATCTAGTAAGCCTGTAGGATGAGGATTCTTGGGTATGTTTTGATCATTTGCATGTTTGTTTTTCAGTATGGTGATGAGAACTCAGGAAGAGGGTTCAGGTTTTGGTTCTGGCTCAGGTGAAGGTACTGAGCCGATCAATGAGTGGATGCGGGAGTTCATCTCGTCAGAGATTACCCGCGGTATTTTGGAGCAGACTTTTGTGATCTTTGGTACGATTAAGGAGGGGATTTTGGAGATTTTGGATGAGCGTCTGGGCACATTCTGTACTGAGGTCATGGCTATTGTTGGAGCTCACACTCTTTCTTTCTGTGAGTTTCGTGCTTGTGGAGCTCCCGAGTTCTTTGGGGAGAAGGACTCCATTGCTAGTAGGATATGGTTAGCAGATATGGCTAACGCTTTCAGGAAGAGTTTCCGCCTCGATGGGTCGAAGGTTAGATTTGCCACCTGTCTTGTGAAGGACAGAGCACGAGATTGGTGGAAAGAGGTAGACTTCGCTTTAGGAGGCGAAGCCCTAGATACGA